TCTTGGTTCTTGACGTTTTTAAAAAAATTGTTTTGATGGTTGTTTTGTAAGTGACGATTAGACAGACAGGGACATCAGAAATAATCTGTGTTGACTTTTGTCTTTAATGGGAATCTCTCTGATGCCATAAACCTCTTTACCTTTCACTTTTGTGCTGTGTTTTTGAACTTGTGTTCTGTTTTTAATTTTGATTGAAAGTGTGAGGCTTTTACCAATGATGGAATTCATATAATCATCAGATCTGATGTGTAAAAGCATATGTGATTACAAATCTTGATGCTGAGGTTAAAAGCCTTTAAAATAACCTTTCATTGTCTGTTAATTGTTTTTTTTCCCAACATTTTAACTTACTTGTTTTTTTTCATGTGTTTTGATTTTAACTTGAATGATACTGCAATAGAATTGAGATCTTAATTCAGATATTAAGATCATAACTTTGAGAATAATAATGTAAATTGAAAACAATAATTTGGAATGAAAGCATACATTACACATTGGTTCAACTTTGTGAAGTCAAAAAGTCATTGCTACTAGTTGGGGAAATTATAATAAGGAAGCCCTAGAAGCTTAGCAAATCACAATGATATTAATCAATAATCATATCTAAAAGACTAGTTGGGGAAATTATAATAATGAAGCCCTAGAAGCTTAGCAAATCACAATGACACTAATCAATAATCATATCTAAAAAAATCAATAAGAACCCTGATGAAAAGACCATATATTTATACCAACATCTTTTCATGTAGTTCCTATGTTTTATAACTGAAGTTGCTAGCTTCTGATGTTGACAACAAATATTGATTCATTTTCAGTTCCCCTACTGACGCTAAAGCCATGAGTTCCTTACTATCTAAACCTTTTGCTGGCCCGAGGCTACGTCTTTCGTTGCCGTGTTTATCCAACGCTTTCTTGAACTTATTGATCTGCATTTTGAGAGCAACATGAGATTCAATTAACTGCTAATTACCAATTTATATGAAAGCTGTGTTTGATCATGTGGTTTGCTTACAGTGGAGATGGTGCAGCTGAAACTACATAGTTTACCCTCTGCTCCTCTATAGAACTTAAAGAAAGGAAGCACATGAACGTTAAGGCCATGACACATTGTTCTAAGCTCTTCTTGATTCACTTTGAGAAACATCACGTTTGGGTTTGTTTCAGCTAATTGACAGATCTGTTATAAACAAAACAATAAAACATGTCAAAAGAAACACACAAACCAAAATCAACTTTGAAAAAGGTGGAAACTTGTTATTGACTATCACACATACCTTTGGGTGGAGAGATTTGCATCCACCACAACCAGGTGAGTAGAAATCAAGAACAACTAATCTATCACCAGCATTAAGCAAAGAGTCAACAAGATGATCAGCAGATTGAATCTCTAACATGTTGTGTTCCGTTGACTTTTCCCACCATCTCATTCCTCTATTCATACCAATTGATGATGTCTTTGCCTAAAAAACCAAGTTTACCAAACAAAACAGCTTTTTGTTTAAGAATCTATAAACCCAAAACAAAAAAAAATGGAGTTAAATAAATAAAAAAAGAGATAGTCTTTTGCTTACAGGAACCAGAGAGGAAGAAGAAGACAAGGCAGTAAGTGTTTGGTTTGAAGCCATGGGATGTTCCTTCAAATCTAGGCTCATAACAGTGGAAAGTTTCGATTTTGATTTGTTTTCTTGAGAAAATGAACAAAACCCAGAAAGCCCATAATCGTTTTTATAATATTGAGCACCATTTCCACACACAGCTCTGAGAGGTGAAATAGTATCCATGTCTCGTTTTACGACTAAGAAACTGCAGAGACAGCAGATGAAGAGATTATTGAGATGAAGAAGAAGAGAGAAAAGTGCAGAGGGTATTGGATGAGAGAAAAAGCAACAGAAGTTTGACACTTTATTGACCCTCTAGAAATCAATAAAGAACACAAAATGAGTACAGTTTATGCAGAAACTTGTTGTTCTTGTGTTAGGTGGGGTCCTTCTATATCCAACTGGATTCATTTACTATTATTGACTTTATCCATATCCATTTTACCCGTTTAATTCGTGATTCGTACCAATAGTTAATTTTACTTTATTGTAATTAACGCTTATTTGACCGGATTTTTGAATTTAAAGATTCTGCTTAATTATTTTTTGACTGAAGGCTTGCTTAAAATTATTGTTGACTGGAACTTTAAACATAATCTTTTTTTGGTCCATAACTGCAGTCTTTTGTGATAATCTTATTATTTTGAATTGATCAGTAGTATTATTTATATGATACTTGATTATGATAATATTATGATTATCCAGTAAACAAAACAAACTGATTTTTTTTTAAATAATACTATGAGAAGGGGGTAAAATGCATCACTGTCAGGGTCGCCGCATGAAACGTGTAGCTGACTGTGTTTGAGGCTTTTCCTCGTTGGATATGGTCCCACTTGACTTATTCAAATAACAGTGGTAAATGCATCATTATTGCAATAGCTTAATTGGGAGATAAGACCATATTATGATCAAATTAATTACAGAACTAAATGACCATAAACAAATGTTAATTTTTTGAATTTCTTATCATACTTTTTAAAATGAGATGGAATTTATTTGAGAATATACTGTATATTTTAATTTATTTATCTGTAATTCACTAAATTTTGATTTATTTGCATTATCAGTTCTCTGGTTTTTTCAAGATATATATAAAAAAGGTTGAATAGAGGCGGGGCAGCCCATAGTTTCAAATTATTTTATATTCATTCGACCGAAACATAGTCCAAGGAATCCTAGAGCGGCCCACAGCTTTAAAATCCAAAACAGCGTAGAGAGACAGAACTTATATTGTGGCAATGACTATGACTAGTAAGGTACAAAACCAGTCAAATTTATTTGAATAAGAACTTGTTATTAAGATCGCCCAAGCAGCAAATCCCAAGCCCACAATTTGGAGAATAGTACGATCTTAAGAGGAATTATTAGCAACGTTATGAATTTATAATTTTAAAATCTGTCATTTCATCAAAGCCCACAACTTGAAGCCCACTTTTAAAAACGGGCAAGACTCTGCCTATCACCGTCTCAACAAGCTTCCTTTACTGTATGAGACCATCTCCGGGTACACAATTTTTTCCTCTACAATTTACACTAAAATTTTTTTTTTTAATATTTGATCACTTTGGACCGAAATCCTCAAACGGAGGTACGGAGGAGTCAAACCTCTAACGTCAGGGTCCGAAGACAGAGCTCAGTTTGCCACTTGGCTACGAACAATCCGACATAGAGTAACTCTATTATATTATAAATTTTGTTCCAATGGTTTGCTCTATAATAGAGTTACTTTATTATAGAGTAAAATGTAGAGAAATGACACTTTTTCACTCTATATTTAGAGTGAAATAATGATATTATTCTATATTTTATTCTATAATAGAGTAATTCTATAATAGAGTAACTCTATTATAGAATAAACCATTGGAGCAAAATTTAAAATATAATAGAATTACTCTATTTTAGTGTAAATTATAGAGGAAAAATAATGTGCCGTTGGAGATGCCCTAACCCATAATATTGTTGTATTCAAGAATTTAGTTAACCTAGCAATGGAATTTAGTGAGTTACGTTAAAATCATTATTTTTATCGCCATATAATATTTAACCAGGTAGCAACCTCAGCTACACGCATGATGAAATAGTTTATAGATTATTTATTGTACATTATATTTATAGATTTTTCGTATAACTTTTTTAGGATGAATATTTATATATTTATTCAGATTCAGTTAGTTTATTCAGATTTTGGATTTTTATAGTTAGAAATTTAAATTTTATTCAACTTTATATTTACAAATTTTGGTTTACATTTGGTGAGAATCATTTCAGATTCGAGTTTCTATGTCCATTTTAATTACGTATTTTTTTAAAAAAATATAAATATATTTAAGTCCTTAAAATCCGAAGCTAAAATAATATAAAACATAAAAATTTGAATAATATATGACTAATATTTAAATTTGCATAAAATTAGTTCAATTGATTAAGAACAAAAAAATATTATCCGTATTTTGAACATTTACGGTTGTTTTTAGATACTTACTTATGATTATGTTGATAACTTTTTTAAGATATTTTCATATTTTGAATATCTAATAGATATAAAATTTTAGATAACTAATATATTTAACTATATAATTATGAATTAGATATTTTGGTATCCAAAATAGTTTAGTTTGTATTACATTCAAGTCTGGTTATCTGGATATTAAGTTTTTAGATTTATTTGATTACTTAATTGTTTTGGTATGTGTTTAATATTACTTTCAATTCTAGTTTGATTCGGTTCATCGGATCTATATATTTATCCATGCTTAATTTCTTCTACTAATATAAAGAAAAATAAATGTAAAATAAATATGTTTTTGCTTATTTAACATTTTTAATCATTAGACTATACTTTAAGAATAATAAAAATGGTTGGACGTCGTATCACTATTTTTGAGCATGTTGTAAAATTGACGTAGTCTATAACCAATAACATGCATTTTCTTATAAAAAGATTTTTGGAAATTATAGTAAAAACACTATACAATCGAGTGAATGAGCTAAAGTTGTGTGTAAAATAATGTGAATTTTCACTCGGCACCTGAATTATGTTTTCAATCGATATCATGAATTTTATTTTCTTTTAATATTCCTGATTTTTTATTTTTTTAGTAATCTGATTATTCTAATTTTTGGTATGATATGAAAACTTCGTAAGGAAAATCAATATTTGGCTAAACTAAAGATCCGGCTTTGCGTGTAGTATTTTTTACTTGATTTTTCTTAATTCATAACCGATCACAATTATTTGTTCTTTTCGTGAACTGAAATCTCAATCATGGCCAAGTTCGGCAAGATATGAAACTTTCAATTTCTAAGAACATTTTTACTATAGCATTTTAGTTGATGCGAATCTTAATAATTTTTTATTTATTTCTTTTAAAATGATATTATTCAGTAGTTGTACAAAGAGAATTTTAAATAATTTCAATTCGTTATTACAAATATTAAAAAGGCATGAAATAAAAATGAATTAATTGAAAAAAATAGAATACGAACACATTAAATTGTATACAGTTTAGTTAAAAAATTAGTATCTAGACGTATTAATTGTTAAACGATTGTGAAAGTGACACATCAATATATTCCAAAAATTTAGTGTGAATGCATTAATTGCTAATGTTTCTCCTTTAATATATATGTGATAAATAAGTATAACTACACTGCATGCTAACTGAATGTCTCTATTTTTGTGATTCTAAGTACAGTAGAACCTCTATAAATTAATACTCGATAAATTAATATACACTAAATATCTCTATAAATTAATATAATTTTATAGTCCCAAATTGAGTTTTTGGTTCAATTACTATATCTATAAATTAATATCTCTCTAAATTAATAAAAAAATAAAATTTTGGTGTAGTCCCGATATTATTAATTTATAGAGGTTTCACTATATAATAACATTTTTTTTAATATACCCGGCTGATCCAGTCGATTCACTTAATTAGTGGTACAGAATGGACTAATTCGAAAGCGTATGTTTTTTGTTGTTCAATATTAACTAAAAAGAACCGTCTTCTCTTTTTGAACGAAATATACGATTACATTGAAATACTAATGGATGAGCTTCAAGAATAACTTTTAGATGTTTAGCACTGATTAGCTCGGGGAATATTAATGTGTGTATTTCCTCGTCGAATATAAAAGTCAGAACAAAGAAAAAAAATTATGGTTTCGAATGGTTAACGCAATTCAAAATATGTAGATCAACAAGCAGATCACACAGAACAAATGCAAAACTGATTATGCAGAGCAAATACAGACCAAACTGGTTAAATTAATTTATATTTACCTAATTATCATATTTAACCGCATATTAAAAAATTATATGTAAGTTTGATATCAAACAAAATGTATAAATTTTTATATATTTATAATTATTTCATACATACAATGAAAGTTTAAATGTTATATAAAAATTAAATACAATTACAACATACAATGGAATTTAAAAAAAAAACATAGACTATTTTTTGTTTGCCCTTAATGAATAAATAAAATCAACTATAACATATATGTTTTCTATTTATCTAAATTTTATATAAGGCTATTTAGTGTACTTATATATTTTTATAGCATAATATAATGTGTATAAACACTTTTTTATATAAATTATATGAAATTTTGAATATGTCAATTGAATATATATATATATATTTTTAAAAGTATAATATAATTTATTACATATATATATATAGTGCATACATTCATTTAGATGATTTCTATAAAAATAACTATTTAAATATAAAAACAGAAGCAATTAAAAAAGTTCATAAATTCATTCCAGTGATTTATATAAGAATATTATAAGTTAATATTTAATTTGTATACACATACTTTAATTTCTTTATTTTTTATAAATACAAATAGATTTACATACATTTTATAAATATCTTATTATTTTTTATTATATTTATTTAAATAAATTTGTCCAGAATATTATTACATAAAAACAAAAGCATATAAAATATTAAATCAGAATTTAGAAAGAAATTTTGTGGATTTAAAAATGAATGAACTAATTTAAATAAAAATATTTTAATAAGAGTTTAATAGGGAAAAAACAAACTTACGTGTATGTGTATTGATCATCTGCATTCTGTTCAGCACATTTTCTCAACTTTTGCATACCATTTATTTGTATGTCTAGTATTAATTTGCATCCAGATTTTTAAATACTTTATAAATTTTACTTGTTCTACAAATAAAATGATGAATGCAAAATATATAAATGCAGATGGATCTGCATAATCAGTGACATGCATATTCTCCTGCACTTTAAGAGCATCTCCAAAAAGGAATTCT